ATTCATTGGTATGTATGAGAGATGGCAATAGCAGTGACCATATCTCCAAGCCGGCAACATGCTGCTGATGACAGTGTAGACCAAGGCAGTGAGCATAGCTCTCAGTTCTGGCAATAAAATACCCACTGCCATCTTGGATAGACCGCGGCTAATACAGCTATGGCTTTCATTTTAGAAATGTTGTTTATCAGATAAAGACTCATGGCCAGAAAAAGATAAAGATTTATAGTAAAGACAGATTCAGATTAAGAAAAACCTCTAAAGGTTTACAGTGGGAGAGAAAAAGAAACAACATAAAATGTTTTAAAAAAGAATAAGCCAGAATGGCTGAAATTAGAAACAGCAATGACAACTTATGTTGGAGAGGATGTAGAGAAAGGGGAATATTCCTCCACTGATGGAGGGAGTGCAAACTCATACAGCCATTTTGGAGATCAGTATGGCGGTTCCTCAGGAAAATGAGAGTTAGCTTATCACAGGACCCGGCAATCCCCATCTCAGGCATATACCCAGATGATCCACATCCATGCAACAAAGACATATGTGCAACTATATTCATAGATGCATTATTTGTAATAGCCAACACCTGGAAGCAACCTAGATGCCCCTTAACTGAAGAATGGATAAAGAAGATGTGGTACATCTAGACAATGGAATACTACTCTGCAGAAAAAAAAAAAACAATGGAATCTTGAAATTCTCAGGCAAGTAGATGAAACTTCAAGAAACCATCCTGATTGGATGGGAAAAAGATTTAAAGTTTATGTAACTTATGAGGGTCTAAGAGAGTAATTTAAGGTGTTCTAAAGGTCTGGAGAAATGAAAGCTTAAGTAAGTTGTAAGGGCCCAAGGAAATGTTTTAAGATGTATAAATGCAAGTTGTAAGGCATAAGGAAATTATGGTATAAGAAAAATGAGTGATGTTTCAGATTTCTTTCCCTCCATGCTATTGTTACATTAAGACTTCAAAAATTTAGAGTTTTAACATTATCAATGGAGTTATGATAAGATATGAACACTAGTAAAGCACTGGCTCCTATTATCATAGTCCCGAGCTTTGAATCTCTGCATCTGTTTCTATTGGTTGCTATAGAAATCTCTTTGATGACACCTCTTTGATGATGATTATGCTATGCTCCTGTCTATGAGTATAGCAGAATATCATTTCATTGACTTTTCTTGACAATCATGTTTGGTTCTATCCTGGTTCTATAGGATATCCAACCTCTGGTTTCTGGTCCTCCATGTAGTGTCAAGGGTGCCTGCCTCTTGTGGCAATGAACCAGTCATTGATTGGTCACTCCCCTAATTTTTGTGCCACCTTTACCCAGAACAACTTGTAGGCAGGAAAAATTGTATATAAAAGTTATTGTGGTTAAGTTGTTGTCCCAACCTCTCCATTGGAAGCCTTGCCTAGTTATAGGAAATGGCCGGGTCAGGCTCCATGTCCCCCATTAGTTAATGTTTCCATTGCACTAGGTTTGAAGCTTGTCCTTGAAATAACTTCAATTCCAGTTGTCTTTTCCATTATACCCTCCCTTCAACTTTTGCCCACTGATCCCTCCTTCTCCCATTTCCGCCTAGCTCCAGTCCCTCATGAGATCTGTTCTATTTGTCGGTCTCAGGAAGATCCATGCATCCCATCTTGACCTTCCTTGTTATTTTGTTTCTATGGGCCGGTGATTGTAACATTGTTATCTTTACAGCCAATATCCACTTGTTAAACATAATGGTTTTGCAATGTTTAACATGCCTAAGTTTCCCTCCTACTGCCTATCCCTGAGGATGGGATCCCTATCTCCCTGGTCTTCCAACACCCACATACCACCAGGGATCTTTGGATACCCAAACATACATACACTATTTTAAATGCATATCCAAGATAAAAATTTTCCCTAAGCTCCCCAACCCTCTGTTTATATAACCTTCTGCATTATAACCTTATGAATAGTCTATATCTGTCCCAGCAAGTTTCTAATCAACTAAATACTGTACATTGGCCAAATGTCTCAAACCCAGATGTTTCTGATAGAATTTCCAACCAACCTGAGCCCCTGCATCAGAGTGCTCTAAAGCTGCCTACACTTCCCTAGTCCCATATGATCCCACAGAATCTGGATACTGTGTGAAACAGAAATCTTAAAGCATACAGTCCTATCTTACTTTCCATTATTTGATCAATATCCCAGATTGTTTACTTGTCCTGAGACAGTGAAGCCCCAATTTCAGGTCAGAATCAGTTATGGAAGAAATTATATCACTTCTTATCTTCAACAAAAAAAGAATTGTTGTTCAAGAAAAACCCTTTTTCAAAGTCTGGCATTCAGATAAAAGACAGAATTCCCTCAGACTTAAAGAAGACAGTTCTTACTTGCTAAAATGAGTTATTCATCTCTGGCAAAGGGACTTATGACTCTTCCATTAACCTATATCTGTGATGTCTATTGTTGTATCAAGTTCTATATAGCCTCTAGGTTTCAACAGTCTCTATTCATAAGTACCTGTTATAGAATCATCCTAGATGGCATAACCCACCCTCTAACTTAAACATTCCCAGCCCCTGACCTTCCCTTCCCTACCACAACTTCTCTTTCCTCTATAACTCAGCCATTTTGGCTATGTACTTGATTGGTTCTGCAGGGGACTCCTCTCCTGGACCTCTCTTTGTCCATTTACCATCCCTCCTCTTCCTCTCTTACTCTTACTCTCCACCCTCCTTCCTCTAGTTCAGTCTGATGGCCCAGTTCAGTCTGGACACTACCAGATGTTTTTGGTTGTGTTCTTCCTCATGTCTACAATAAAAGCTTCTCATCAACCATACCAAGAAGTGGACATGTCTGCATATTGATTCAACTGTCATGTCAGCTTTTCCCTAGAGATTTGGGGTTGATTCGATATAAAAAATCAATAAATGTAATTTACCAGGTATACAAATTGAAACAAAAAAAATCTTAATAAGTAATTTCAAATCTTTTAATGTGAACTAAACCAAATCAAATAAGAACTTGCTTGAATATTTACCTAAGATAATTCATTATCATGTACTTCCCATAACTGCCGAGTGAAAGTGCACCAATATTCATGTGAACAGGAAAATAAGAGATCACTTGAGATTCACAGACCCCTTGAAAACTAATTGTGTTTGTGTGAAATGAACTGCTTAGCACTCACTGGAAATGAAGTAATGATCCCTAATGATTTAAATTCATACTGAAATCCAGAGCCTCACCAGGGACTTGTCCTCAGTGACAGACAATGACACTGGAGAGAGATTATTAGGTATAAAATCATAGTGACTTTCATCTTCTTACTCTGAAATGAATTCTTACTACAAGAGGTAAGATTTTGACTTAGTAGTAAATGGAGATAACTTTATTCTTTGAAAATGTACTGTATTCACAAACCATGGTGGAGAAACAAGTCAGATGGAGTCAGGCAATCATATAGAAGAAGGAAAATAAACAAACATTTATGGAATCACCTTATATTTCCATAGTCAAATTGTTAAGAATTATTGGGTATAAAATTAAGTTTTATTTTATTGAAAATAGATTCCTCTCTCATGCACTATAACCTGACCAGTTTCCCCCTTCCTATATTCCTTCTAGCTACTCCCCAGTTTTCAAAGATTCCTTACTTATCTATCCATTGGTAAGACTAGAAACCAACATGGCCTCCAAATTTGTACACACATAGCATTCAGCCAAAAGGCTAACAAGTTCACTAACTTTGAAGTAATTTTGTGGCTTACTATCAGGGAATATCATGTGCAAAGATGTTTTGTTTATGTACTGAATGTTCCAGTACCACAGACATCACTATGGACAAATGAGAATGTAAATATAGAATGTGAGGGATTAGAGTCAATCTGTGCCATGCTAGATAAACCTTCATAAGCCTCTTAAATTTTTATTTGAATATTTATATATCAGTGTTCTCTGTTGAAAATCATGTGAATTTACTCCATCACACTCCTGCTAGAAAACACTGTGACACTAGGAAATTATTTGGTATGTTTTAATAAAAAATAGTAATAATGTGCTAATTATAATTCAGATTTTATATGATGATGAAATTAATATATTGTGGTACTTTAAGGAGTGATGGTCTACTTATAAGTATTTAAAATATTTAATGAGCTTAAAACAGAAAATTGCATTTGAAATTTTAGTGTGACCTCTCTATTATTTCTTCTCAGTTATATTAAGAAAATATATGTTCTTTTAAAAAATTGATCAAGACATGACCTTACTTACAGAAATGATAGAATTTGTGACCAGTTTCATCAACATTGCACCTCTCTATGTATTAACCATGAGAAAGGTTACATGCCACTCTGGTGTCTGTCCCTAATTTTTATGTGTCCTCAGTTGCATGGCTACCCATCATTATGTGCAGTTACTAAAAGGGGTACTCTGAGTTCAACCTGCCTGGTGTTTTTACTTTACTTTAATTTTTAAAACATATGTTGTTTTTATTTTATGTTTATGAATATTGCTTGCATATACATATGCATGTCACATATATTTGTTGTGTCTGTGAAGACCAGAAGCGGGCATTGGGTCCCCAGAACTAGAACCTCAAACTGCTATGAGAAAGCATATGGGTGCTGGGGATCAAACACTGGCCCTTTGAAAGTACAAGTACTCCTAACTACTGAATCATCTCTGAAGCCCCATAATTTGGTTACTTATTATGTATATGTTACACAGCTTTAAACATTTTTGTGCTGTAAAATGGAAACAATAAAAAAATAATGCTATTCAAATGAAATTATAAAAGAAAAATATACAATTATTTAAATCCTGTGCTGGTGATGTAGTATGTATTTAATAAAAGTTAGCAATTATTTAACTATTCCATTTTGATCCACCTTTAAAAAATATGTTAGTTGGTAATGCTCTCCATATATGTATTAAATTAAATCATGTGACTTTTTTACATTTCTTCATATAATATCTCCTTCACAGCTGTGATCTGGCAGCAGCTACACCACCCCCATGGCTTTCCTAGTAGATGGAAACTACACTGTGGTGACAGAGTTCATTTTATTGGGCTTAACAGATGACCTGGTACTTAGAGTTGTCCTCTTCACCATCATCCTGTGCATCTACCTGGTGACTGTGTCTGGGAACCTCAGCACCATCCTCCTCATCAGTGTCTCTTCCCAACTCCATCTCCCCATGTACTTTTTTCTCAGCCACTTGGCTTCTGTTGACATAGGCATCTCATCTTCTGTCACACCCAATATGCTTGTCAACTTTCTGGTTAGTCAAAATACCATCTCCTACCTTGGATGTTTTATACAGTTTGGCTCAGGTGCATTCTTTGGATCTGTCGAATGCTTCCTTCTGGCTGCTATGGCTTATGATCGCTTCATGGCAATCTGTAATCCACTTCTTTATTCAACTAAAATGTCCACACAAGTCTGTATCCAGTTGGTTATAGGATCTTACATAGGGGCTTTTCTGAATGCTACCTCCTTCACCATTTCCTTCCTTTCTTTTCTTTTCTGTGGGCCAAATAGAATAAATCACTTTTTCTGTGATTTTGCTCCTTTGATGGAACTCTCATGTTCTGATGTCAGTGTTTTTGCAGTTGTTACCTCCTTTTCTGCTGGATTAGTAACCATGATCACAGTGTTTGTCATAGCTGTCTCCTACATCTACATCCTCATCACCATCCTGAAGATACGCTCCACCGAGGGCCGCCAGAAGGCCTTCTCCACCTGTACCTCTCACCTCACTGCAGTCACTGTGTTCTATGGGACTGTAACATTTATTTATGTGATGCCCAAATCCAGCTACTCCACAGATCAGAACAAAGTGGTGTCTTTATTCTACATGGTAGTGATACCCATGTTGAATCCCCTCATCTATAGCCTCAGGAATAATGAGTTTAAGGGTGCTTTGAAGAGACAACTTGGTAAGAAAACATTTTCTTAGGGTAAGCTATTGTTTTACAAAACTTAATATAATAATGATAATTACCCAAGACCAATGGGACCATTATTTCAGATTTGGTTATTAAGCTTCTAGTTACACATTTACCCTCATCTCCTTTTCCTCACACTATACATAGATAATGTATTTATCCTTTTTATATTTTAAAATGTCTTTGAAAACATGGAATGTATTTTTGGCATGGTCACCCCTTCTGACAACTATTCTCCTTATAACTCCCTCTCATAAACATCTGAATATGCTTTTTTATGAAATCCAATTTGTACTACTTTCTAAGTTTAAAAGGATGGTTTCCCCTAGTCAACTCTTCACTGATGTATCAATTTCATGAGAATTATTTCATTCAGAAACATATCTATAGTATCTACTTAGTTCTGCAACATAATAAATACTCAATAAAAGCATCTAGATGGAATTAATGTCTCAATGGTTACCCTGTATATACCTGTGAAATAATTCCAAAGCTGATACAATATTTCATAAATAATTATAAGTCATGAAGAATGACACTACTGGTTTCAGATGCCTTCTCCCTAGACTAACTTCACATATGCAGAGGATAAGCCTGTAATCTTCAATGATATGTAAATTAATATTTCTTTTCTTTTTCTTTCTTTACTTTTATAACCAAGTCCATTTAAATGAAAACAAACATTTATACGCAATATTTGGGAATTTGGGCGTCGTTCTTTCCAAACTACTTCATGCTGGTAAGGGGCGCTGTCATGAGGGATTCTAAGAAGATGCAGAAATCCTGGCTGTAGTCTGTAAGGCTGCTTTGTCCAGCTGTTTTAAATGTAAGATCACCTGGTACTCTGTTTCAGGTGGTCTAGCTTGATCAAACCACATTAGTCTGGAAGGAATCCACAGCTTTTCATTTTCTTTGGAAACAAAAATTGAAATCCTTTTCTCCAGTAACTTGTCCTTGAATTTAAATTTTTAAGTCAGAGCATTTAATTTATTATTTTACTTGTCCATCCCAGTTCCCTCTCCCTCCTTCCCTCCCGCCCTCCCTCACTCCCTTTTATCCTCTCTGCTCTCTCACATGCACCCTAACCACACTCCCCTCCCATCCCACCCCAATTCCATATGTAGGGGAATGCCATCCAGTTGGGGTCAAGTAGATCTGACAGGTCATGTGAAGTAGGGACTAGGGCTTCTCTCCTGTCTCTAGGTTAAGGCAGTTATCCCTCCATGGGGGATGTGTTAGCAAGGTCTTTTTGTACACCAGGGATACATCCTGGCTCCACTGTCTGAGGTCCCTTAGCCTGCTCAGTCCTTCTGGCTGAGACCCATATTCAGGGGGGCCTGAGTCAGTCCCATGCTGGCTTCCCAGCTATCAGGCTGGGGACCTGTTAGCTCCTCCTTGCTCAGGTAAGCTGTCTATATGTGTTTTTGCCGCCTGGTCTTGTCCTCTACATCTGCATCTAGGTTCTAGTTCGACTCAGTGTTTATGTCCTGTTTCCAACAGGCAATAGATGAGAGCTCCATGGATAAGTTAGTTGCCCAGGAAGGGCATTTATGATAGCCTTTCCACGGAAGCTCAAATTATTAGTTGGCAACAGTCTTGTAGTTCTCTAGACCTTTCTTTGTGTTCAATTTTATCTTCAAACCAATATTGGCTCCCTCTTTTATGCTCTCTCTCTCTCTCTGTGTATCTCCCCCCCCCCCTCCTGTCTTCTATTCCTAACCGGGCTCAATATTTCTGGTTGCACATGGTTTCCTTTCCCTCGTTTTCCCTACTTCTCTCTCCATTTGCTGCCCAACCACTTCCCCTGTGCTCTGTGGGACTTGTCCCTTCCCAGTTCTGTGAGGAACATTATAGGAATCTCTTAGAATGCACCTTGTATCCTAGTTCCTCTGGTGGTGTGAATTATAGGCTGGTAATCCTTTGTTCTAGGTCTAAAATCCATATATGAGTGAGTACATACTATGTTCCTCTTTTTGTGACTGGGTTACCTCATTCAGGATGGTTTCTTCAATTTTCATCCACTTGCCTGCAAATTTCAAGATTCCATTTTTTTTTCTGCAGAGTAGTATTCCATTGTGAAGATGTGCCACATCTTCATTATCTATTCTTCAGTTGAGGGGCATCTAGGTTGCTTCTAGGTTCTTGCTATCACAAATAGTGCTGCTATAAACATAGTGGAACAGATGTCCTTGTTGCATGGATGTGGATCATTTGGTATATGCCTAAGAGGGGGATTGCCGGGTCCTATGGTAAACTAATTCCCATTTTCCTGAGGAATAGCCATACTGATCTACAAAATGGCTGTATGAGTTTGCACTCCCACCAGCAGTGGAGGAGTATTCCCCTTTCTCCACATCCTCTCCAGCATGAGTCATCTTTGGTGTTTCTAATTTTAGCCATTCTGGCAGGAATAAGATGGTATCTCGAAGTTGTTTTGATTTGCATTTCCCTGATAGCTAAGGATGTGGAGCACTTTCTTAAGTGTCTTTCAGCCTTTTTGATTTCCTCTATTGAGAATTCTTTCTTCAGTTCTGTACCCAATTTTTTAATAGGATTATTTGGTGTTTTGTTGACTAGTGTCTTGAGCTCTTCGTATATTTTGGAGATCAGCCCTTTGTCAGATGTAGGATTGGTGAAAATCTTCTCCCAGTCTGTGGGCTGCCGTTTGGTCTTGTCCACTGTGTCCTTTGTTTTACAGAAAATTCTAAGTTTGAAGAGGTCCCATTTATTAATTGTTGCTCTCAGTGTCTGTGCCCCTGGAGTTATGTTCAGGAAGTGGTCTCCTATACCAATTTGTTCAAGGGTACCTCCTACTTTCTCTTCTAAGAGGTTCAGTGTGGCTGGATTGATGTTGAGGTCTTTGATCCATTTGGACTTGAGTTTTGTGCATGGCAACAGACATGGGTCTATCTGCAGTCTTCTACACACCCTCATCCAATTGTGCCACACCATTTGTTTGAGATGCTGTCTTCGCCCCATTGTATACTTTTAGCTGTTTTGTCGAAAATCAGGTGTTCATAGGTGTGTGGGTTAATATCAGGATTTTCAATTCGATTCCATTGGTCTACCTGTCTATTTTTGTGCCAATACCATGCTGTTTTCAGAACTATAGCTCTGTAGTAGAGCTTAAAGTCAGGAATGGTGATGCCTCCTGAAGTTCTTTTATTGTATAGGGTTGTTTTGGCTATCCTGGGTCTTTTGTTTTTCCATATAAAGTTGATTATTATCCTTTCAAAGTCAGTGAAGAATTGTGGTGGGATTTTAATGGGGATTGCATTGAATCTGTAGATTGCTTTTGGTAAGATTGCCATTTTTACTATGTTTATCCTACCTATCCAAGAGCATGGGAGATCTTTCCATTTTCAGGTATCTTCTTTAATTTCTTTCCTTAGAGCCACAAAGTTCTTATTATATAGGTCTTTTACTTGTTTGGTAAGCATTACACCAAGATACTTTATATTGCTTGTGGCTATTGTAAAGGGTGATGTTTCTCTGATTTCTTTCTCTGCCTCTTTGTCGTCTGAAAAAAGTAGGGCTACTGATTTTTTTGAGTTTATCTTGTATCCTGCTGGTTTGCTGAAGGTGTTTATCAGCTGTAGGAGGTCCCTGGTAGAGTTTATTGGGTCGCTTATGTAAACTATCATATCATCTGCAAATAGAGACAGTTTCACTTCTTTCTTTCCAATTTGGATCCCCTTGATCTCCTTTTGTTTTCTTATAGCTTTAGCTAGAATTTCCGGTACGATATTGAAGAGATATGGAGAGAGAGGGCAGCCTTGTCTTGTTCCTGATTTTAGAGGAATTGGCTTAAATTTCTCTCCATTCAGTTTGATGTTGGCAGTTGGTTTGCTGTATATTGTTCTTATTATGTTTAGGTATGTTCCTGTTATCCCTGACCTCTCCAAGACCTTTATAATGAAAAGGTGTTGAATTTTGTCGAAGGCTTTTTCAGCATCTAGAAAGATAATCATATGGTTTTTCTTTTTCAGTTTGTTTATATGGTGGATCACATTGACAGATTTTTGCATGTTAAACCATCCCTGCATTCCAGGGATGAAGCCTACTTGGTCATGGTGGATGATTTCTCTGATGTATTCCTGAATTCAGTTTGCCAGTATTTATTGAGTATTTTTGCATCAATGTTCATCAGGGATATTGGTCTGTAGTTTTCTTTCTTAGTTGTGTCTTTGTGAGGCTTGGGTACCAAGGTTATTGTGCCCTCATTAAAAGAGTTTGGCAATGAACCTTCTGTTTCTATTTCGTGGAATAATTTGAGGAGTATTGGTATTGGTTCTTCCTTGAATGTCTGGTAGAATTCTGCACTGAATCCATCTCGCCCGGGACTATTTTTGGTTGGAAGGCTTTCGATGACTGCTTCTATTTCATTGCGGGTTATAGGTCTATTTATGTTGTTTGTCTGTTCTTGATTTAATTTTGGTAAGTGATAGTTATCCAGACATTTGAATTTTCAATTTTTGTGGAATACAGATTTTCAAAGTATGACCTGAAAATTGTCTGGATTTCCTCTGTGTCCGTTGTTATGTTCCCCTTTTCGTTTCTGATTTTGTTAATTTGCATGTTCTCTCTCTGCTTTTTCGTTAATTTGGATAAAGGTTTGTCTATCTTGTTGGTTTTCTCAAAAAACCAACTCTTCGTTGCATTGATTTTTTTGTATTGTTGTCCAGGGTTCTATTTTGTTGATTTCAGCCCTCAAATTGATTATTTCTTGGTGTCTACTCCTCCGGGTTGAGTTTGCTTCTCTCTGTTCTAAGGCTTTCAGTTGCGCTGTTTATTCTCTTATGTGACTTTCTTCTGTTTTCTTAATATGGGCACTTAGTGCAATGAACTTAGTGCACTGCTTTCATGGTGTCCCATACATTCGGGTATGTTGTGTCCTCACTCTCATTGAATATTAGAAAGTCCTTAATTTCTTTCTTTATTTCTTCTTTGACCCAGGTGTGGTACAATTGCACATTGTTCAGTTTCCATGAGTTTGCAGGTTTTCTGCTAT